CCAACTGAGCTACAGGAGGGCCATTATTTAACTAAATATGTGACTTCTGAAGGTAATTGGTTGCACCAGATCTTGTTTAGGGGCTTCATAGCAAAGGGGCTGAATACATACGCATGCACCACTTTTCACTTCACCAATTTGGACTATTTTGTGTATGTCCATTACATGAAATCCAAATAAAAATCAATTTAAATTACAGGTTGTAATGCAACAAAATAGGAAAAACGCCATGGGGGATGAATACTTTTGCAAGTCACTGTATCTATGCCCATCCCTATGACGTAGAGCTGGACAGAGAGGAGGAGCAGAGGAGAGACTGATCGCTGCTGGTGAGATCGCATGTTAGATTATTTACAAATAATGTAATTTCACATTAAATAAATTGATTCAGTAAAGAACTTGATGTTGCTTATTTTCATATACCAACAGAAGAAAAGAGAAGATGGTATTTCAAAATGGCAGCAATCTATTTAAGGTAAGTTGTGTCTTGAGTCTTGAACGCTTCAAAGTCGATAATATCACCAAGTTAATGTGTAACTTCCTTGTAGACTAGATGATATTGTAAAGAACAAGGACTCCAGACAGTCTCACTACAACAAAGGATTGAAGCTGCTCACAGAGACCCTGAAGTCAGAGAAAACACATCACTGTGATGGGTGATTTGAAGGAGTCAGGCGCAGGAGGGTAAATCACAGAATACAGAGTTTATTCCGGAATACAGTTACGCAGAATAGCGTCAAAAAGTCCAGTGCGCAAAACATGCGCACAGGCACATGGGGAAAAATATACTCCGGCAAAACAAAATACATGGAGCTCAACCGAGCTCCTCTCCTCACATTAAACAATCACCCACAAGGACAAGGGGGCAGAAGGAACACTTATACAAGTACTAATGAGGGGATATGAACCAGGTGTGTGTAATAGACAAGACAAAACAAATGGAATGATGAGATATGGAGCGGCAGTGCCTAGAAGGCCGGTGACGACGAACGCTGAAGCCTGCCCGAACAAGGAGAGGAGGCAGCTTCGGAGGAAGTCATGACAGTAACCCCCCCCCCCCCCCCCCCCTTGACGCGCAGCTCCAGCAGCGCGCCGACACCGGCCTCGGGGAGAGAGGGGAAGATTAGTAAGGAAATCAATTACTTAGGTGAGACCATGGCCATTGTGGAACTGGTAAAGGCTTGTACTTACCCACTGGGAGGTGCCTGGGTGCATTACTCTGGGTGCACACCAAGCAGGAGGAGACATACACCCTCACGTCCTTAGCAAAGATAGGCCACCAGTACTTTCTGGTCAGGCAGCGCACTGTACGACCAATACCTGGGTGACCAATGGAGGGTGATGTGTGTGCCCAGTAGATCAGACGGTCACGGACAAGAGCAGGCATGTACTGCAGCCCAGCTGGACACTGAGGTGGAGATGGCTCTGTGCGTAACGCCTGCTCGATATCCGCGTCCATCGCCCATACTACCGGTGCCACAATGCAGGAGGCCGTGAGTATGGGGGTGTTGTCTCTGGGCCTCTCCTCTGTGTCGTACAGACGTGACAGTGCGTCTGCCTTCACGTTCTTCGTACCTGGGATGTATGATAGAGTGAAATCAAACCGGGTGAAGAATAGGGCCCACCTGGCCTGGCGAGGGTTCAGCCTCCTCGCTGCCCGGATGTACTCCAGGTTACGGTGGTCGGTCCAGACAAGGAAAGGGTGTTTCACCCCTTCGAGCCAGTGCGTCCACATGGTCAGGGCTCAGAAACAGCCAACAGCTCCCGATCACCAATGTCGTAGTTCTGCTCCGCCGGGCTGAGCTTCTTGGAGAAGGTGGCACAGGGGCAGAGCTTGGGTGGTGTGCCCGAGCGTTGAGATAGGACAGCGCCTATCCCTACCTCGGACGCATCCACCTCCACTACGAACGGTAGTGATGGATCTGGATGGGCCAGTGCCGGGGCTGAGGTGAACAGACCCCTCAGGTTACTGAAGGCCCTGTCAGCCTCAGCAGACCAGCAGAGCCTGGACGGCCCACCCTTCAACAGAGATGTAATGGGAGCTGCGACCTTGCCAAAGACCCGGATAAACCGCTGATAGTAGTTGGCAAAGCCAATAAAGCGCTGCACCTCCTTAACCGTGGATGGAGTCTGCCAATTACGCACGGCTGAAATGCGATCTCCCTCCATCTCCACACCTGAGGTGGTAATGCGGTATCCGAGGAAGCAGATGGACTGTTGGAAAACAGACACTTTTCTGCCTTGGCATAAAGGTCATTTTCCAACAGTCGGGCCAGCACTTTGCGAACCAGGGACACATGCTCGGTGCGCGTAGTGGAATACACCAGAATGTCATCGATGTAGACCACTACACCGTGACCAAGCATGTCCCGAAACACCTCGTTCACAAAGGACTGGAAGACGGAACGAGCATTCATCAAACCGTAAGGCATCACCAGGTATTCATAATGCCCCGTGGTTATGCTGAATGCTGTCTTCCACTCATCCCCCTATCGGACACGCACCAGGTTGTACGCACTCCTTTGATCTAATTTGGTGAAGAAGCGCGCCCATGCATTGACTCGATCACCGAAGGAATGAGGGGGAGAGGATAACTAAATCGTATCGTCTCCTTGTTCAGTAATCGATAATCAATGCATGGGCGCAGACCGCCGTCTTTCTTCTTTACAAAAAATAAACTTGAGGAGGCGGGCGAAGTGGAGGGACATATAAACCCCTGGCGCAGGGACTCGGAGACGTATGTCTCCATAGCCTCTATTTCAGCCTGTGACAGGGGATACACATGACTCCTGGGAGGCACAGCGTCTATCCGGAGGTTTATCGCGCAATCCGCCGCCCGATGAGGTGGTAACTTGGTCGCCTGCGTTTTGGAAAACGCGTGCGCCAAATCGAGGTATTCGGGGGGAATGCGCACAGTGGAGGTACTGTCTGGACTTTCCACTGTGGTTGCACCAACGGAAACACGAGACACCTACCCTGACACTCTTGAGACCACCCCGTGAGAACCCTCTGCGGCCATGAAAAGGTGGGGTTTTGGAGTGCTAACCAAGGAATACCTAATACTACAGGGAAAGCAGGAAACTCAATAATAATAAAAAAGTGACTTGCTTGCGATGAGTCTCGTGGGTAACCATAGTGACTGGTGCTGTAACTTCCCTAACAAACCCGGACCCTAATTGTCGACTGTCAAGTGCTCTGATGGGGAGTGGAATGGATAGGGGAACCAATGAAATGCCTAGACTTTGTGAAAATGACCTGTCCATAAAGTTCCCAGCTGCGCCTGAATCGACTAGCGCCTTACACTGGGGAACAACAATGTAATCAGGAAAGTGGATGGGTAGGGTACAGTGCGCAGCAGAGGACTCTGAACGAGTGTGGGTGTTCGATACCTGGGGTGACGCGAGAGTGCCCTGCCTGCCGCCTCCAGACCCAAAAGAACGCTGACGACATTGTGCAGTGAAATGTCCTCTCATGCCACCAGAGTGACACTGGCGCTGTCGTCCTCCGCTCTCTCAGATCTCCGCACCACCCAGCTCCATCAACTCATGATCCGAGTCGGGTGGGGTTGGAACGGACAGACCCCCTCCAGGACGTCCTCTGGCCGCCAGCAGATTGTCCAAGCGGATGGCCATGTCCACCAGTTGTCCCGGCAGGCTAGCTCCCTTCGGACGTCCTCCCGCAGATGGCACCGGAAGTGGTCGATGAGGGCCCGCTCGTTCCACCCGGACCCAGCTGCTAGAGTCCGGAACTCAAGGGCGAAGTCCTGTGCGGTCCTCAACCCCTGCCTCAGGTGGACCAGCCGCTCGCCAGCCTCTCGACCCTCGGGCGGGTGATCGAAGACTGCCCGAAAGAGGCAAACGAAGTTGTCCAATGCGGCTCCTCCTTCATTAGAGACCACATTGGGCCACTCCAGGGCTTTCTCCGAGAGGCAGGAGACGAGGGCAGACACCTTCTCCCGCTCCGATGGGGCCGGGCTGATGCTGGAATAGAAGAGATCCAGTTGGAGGAGGAATCCCTGGTAGAGAGCAGCTGTCCCGTCGAAGTCCCGTGGTCGGGATATCTGGATCCCTCTGGGTGCTGAGATGTGGGTGACTGGATCCGGTTGCCCAGCTGGTCTCGACAGATCGGGTCCTCTCCTCTCCAGGCGTTGGACGGCCTGGAGAACCCGATCCATCGCTTCTCCCAAGCTGGCTAGCATCGTCGAATGCTCCTGGACCCGTGCCATGACTCCAGGCATGCGCTCCTCTCCCGCTGACTCCATAGCTGATGGAGAACCAAAGATCAAGCGTTGATTGGAACAGACAGGTTCCTTTTCTAAAGTGTTCCCAGTCTTGCGAGAAAGACATATTTCCATTTCCTCATTCCAATGAAGATTTTGTCTTGTGTCACAAGATTTTGCACTGAACATGCCGTGTTCTTATTCTTTTGGAACCCCTGTTTCTGTCTGTTATATCTTACTTGAATCAACCCACAAACTGAATGTGCCTCAGTCATTCAAGGAGTTTATAGAAGACACTGCTGATTACATCTGATTCATTCAGCAAGCAATGAGGACACACCTAATACTTTAGTGATGAACCATACCTTCCCAACAATGGTGATATTCACACAGCTAATTTCAACTCTACGATAATGCTGGGTGATTCAATGGTTTATTGATTTAATCTGCCCCAGGGGTTTTTACAGACCCATAAATATATCTTCCCATGACAATTCAACTTGATTATTACTCCTCTCCCTCTGTGTAATAATGTAAACGGGAAGAAACAATAACAGTATTTTCACAAGGACACCCAGTTGTTGTTTTTTATTTATTTAACCTTTATTTAAACTAGGCAAGTCAGTTAAGAACAAATTCTTATTTACAATCATGGCCTACACCGGCCAAACCCGGACGACGCTGGGCCAATTGTGCGCCGCCCTATGGGACTCCCAATCACGGCCGGTTGTGATACAGCCTGGAATCAAACCAGGGAGTCTGTAGTGACGCCTCAAGCACTGAGATGCAGTGCCTTAGACCACTACGCCACTCGGGAGTAATGCGCCACTTGGGTAATACTGCTTTGGGGCTATGCAGTACTGTTACACACAGGCAGCTGGAGAATGTTCTTAACTTCCTACCAAGCTAGAAAAGCTGGTTTAGTCAGATTGAAGTTTGACAAGCACACGTGCAACTACATGTTGTTGTGACAGTGAGAAGAAAATGACAGACAGAAACTGTCATACAAACTTTGTGTACATTTCGTTAAGGCCTTTTAGTTATAGTGACAATATTACAACGGATTGTATGACAGATTACACCCACTCTAAAATCTCTAGATAGAGTATGCACAGCTCATGAGCACCGCAACATTCTCAATCCCTGAGCATGGGGACGCTGCTTGCAACATTGTCTCTTCTTCTATGCAATTAAACTCCATTTTTGTATTCACTGGTGAGAGAGAGTTCATTGTTCATTAGGCTGACTGCTGAAGAGAATGGGTTAAAAGTCGATGTGTTTTCCTTTCTGATAAGAACTTCTCGCAGAACGGTGACCCCTTTACCAGAATGACGAAGCTGGGAGTTCCTGCCTTTATAAAACACCTGTCAAATAAGCAGGGAAGAAAAAAAATCAGCAAGTCACAGTATACAAGTGAGTTCAAACAACTTTGTGAGAAAAAATACATTCTGTACCTTTTATGCTGTAGGATTTTCATGAGAGGCGTCTCAGGGTTAACTTGATGTAATGACTCTTTCTCGTGGTCTTCAAAGAACAGCTAAGGAGTAGAGGGGTCAGAATGGCAAAATAGCTGGAACCAACTAAGGAAAACACAATTTCAGAGACAGTATATAACCCAAAAACTGTTGAATGAAACCAACAAATCGAAGTAAAATATACTAACCTGAAGGTTTTTGGGAGAGTACTTCCTGTTAATGTCCCAAGGTGGGAGTTCCTCTCCAAACATGAGAGTCAGGTGATCTAGGAAGCTGAAAAAACGAATGTTATGTTAATAATTATGCTATGTTCCGTATTATTTTGAGTGTTATTTGTTAATTAGCAATGCAATGTTGGTCTACTTTAGACACTACTTGTAGTCGTATTTGGGTTGAGTTGAGGTTGGTATTGTAGAGTATTGGATAATTTATAGAACCAACAAAACTACATGTACTGTCTGCTTTTATGTAGACCCTTCCAACCCCACATTCTGTTTAGAGAGAGAGAGAGCGGAAGGGGGATCATACCTGGAGGACTCGCTGAAGGCTGAGATGAAGTCTGTTTGTTGGTATTCGGGGTACAGGAAGAGAACTGGCCAGTGCATGATTCCCTGTTCGTCCAGGAACACCTTCGCACCTGTGGCCTCCGTAGAACACAGACCATCCAAGTCCGGCCTTGCCATGGCTCTACAGGAGCCTCCATCATCATCCTCACTGTCAGACCTGCGCTTAGGATGCTGATGAGGCATTAGTAACTGGATGCCACGCTCCTGTAAAGCAAATATAGATAAATAAAAATGTATTGCCATGCAGCTGTTTCCTCATCAACTTATACAGGAATCATGAAATATGATGCAAGTATTTTGTGATTTTTACTTTCTACCATCATACTCACCTTTATGGCAGCCAGAAGGGCCTCTCTCTCACTGCGCTCCTTCTTCTCTTTGACCTTTGCCTTCCTTGCATCTCTCTCTGCCGCTCTCTAAACCACAAATACATCAATTTCAGCATAGGTTTATATAAAATATGGACTCCATTTACAAAGATCCACCAAACTGCTTTTCCACCTGTAATCCTTTCATATTGTGGTGACAAAAGAAAAGACAAGTAAAAATGAACATGAACATCATTTAAGAGTACTGGATCATAGCCTCTGTCATGCCTTATGTTTGTCTGCTGCAGCTCTCAGCTCCAGTAGCTTCTTGTCTGTCGGCTGCAGCTTTAGTCCCTCTTCACACCACTGCAGGGCGTCTGTGTATTTTTTCAGCTCCATGCAACACGTGCCACCTGGGCACAGTCAAGACAGGACAAGGAGGATGAGAGAGGAGGAGTAATGAATGCAGACCTGCAAACTAAACTAAAATACACATCAGGGTTGGGGTAAATCCATTTGAATTCAGAAACTAAACCAAATTCCAATTCTAAATTTTCCTAATTGAAAAGCATTGAAGAGAATTGGAATGTCACTGTACTTCCTGAATTGACTGGAATTTAAATGTAATTGACCCCAACCGTGACACACACTTGCCTCATAAAAAATGTGTTGTGTCTAGATGTGTCATCCAGTAGAAAAGTAAAATGGGATGTTTATTCTATAGACAAACCTCTGATTAATGCTTTAAGGTGGTCTGGTTTAAACTTCTTTGCAGCCACAGCATCATTCAGAGCAGAACGCATGTTACCTGCAAGAAAATAATAAGCGAGTGAAGAATTGCAACAAACATCCCAGAACAAACTTTGGAAGACTCACAGACAGACTACTACACCAGTGGTTCCCAACCAGGGGTACTAGGACACCTGGAGGTACTTGGCATATCCACAGGGGGTACTTGAGAATAGTCACGAGACCATAGGCCTACTGGTAAAATGCAAATGTTGTACAGTAACTGAAAAAGGTTGGGAACCACTGTACTAGACCAATATCATGAGATCTACAGATGGAAAGATTCTAAAAACAGTACCCAGGTGGAAGTGTGCCGCCGCCCGGTTAGTGTGCAGGATGGCATTAACATTAGAGTCACTGCAGTTCTTCTTCAGCCCAGCCGTATAGGACACTATGGCCTTCTTGTAATTATTCTCCTTGAAGTAGTCATTCCCCTCATCTTTCAGGCTCTCGGCCTGCTCTGAGGAAAAATAATAATGATTCTGGGGTCGGGAATGCTGGTCCTACATCAGCACTGGGTGGAAAGTACAGTAATGGCTGTCATACCTTCTAGTGGTCTGTCATCGTCGTGTATAATGGACTGAATAGCAGCCAGCTCCGGGTGTTTCATGGGGTCAATCTCCTCAGGGGCTGTCTTCATGAACATGGGCACCTTATCAAACTCCTGCAGGGCAGTGGAATAAATTGTAATTGAATTAGAAATAGATTGAAGCCTGTGGCCCCTGAAACCCAAGGGGACAGTGCTGGGCATTGCGGTGTGCACGCAACTCAGTTGAGTAACGTTAACTTTACAAACATATTGCATTGCTGGCCTTTTCGTAACTAGTAACCAACTAGCTAGCCAATCAATGAGACGTGACAGTATCACAAATTGTAGAGAAAAGTGTTTTTTAACTTTATATATATATTTTAAAAAAAGGGTTTAGCTATTTAAACACATATTTGGTAGTATTCTAGCTAGCTAACGTTTCTTGGTTAGCTCCCATCCACAGATAGCTTGCTAGCTAACGTTAATCAGTTAGCCATATCTAACGAACTAGCTATCAACTACAAATGACACTGACAGTAATAGCTGTCAGTGCTAACGTTATCAGTCGTTTGTGTAAAGATGTCGTTAACGTTACGTCTTACCTCTTCCCAGTTCTTTTCGGAAAAGGCATTGCTATATTTCTCTTTTTTGAATTTCTCCATAAAGTCATCCATGCCATCGTCGCTATCATCGCCCTGTTGTGCTAGTGAAGCCATATTCGCTCCAAATAAGGTGGATGTATTTAAAGATTAAACTAGTTGTTGAATTGCAGTTTCTTAGTATTGACTACAGAAGTGACACGTATGAAAATAAACATAAATAACTGAAAATATACAAAGCAAAATCATACAAGTTGTTTACACGTGAATGTTGCGGTTCCACATCAAAATGCTTCCGTAGAGGGAACAGAGCTTGATTGAATTGTTCCGCAGCAATGTGTGTATCAGACTCGAGTGGAGAGTTCTATCATTTGCACTATATTTTTTCTGTGAGTCCGGTTGAAACATTGATACAAGGCAATAATGAATACAAATGTCTTTATTGATTTTCATGACAGACAGCAAACATGTATGGCTACTGAACCATATATTTCTACTTTCCTCTTCCACCTGCATGTCCATCACAGTGTAATAATATATTTTATTTCAGTCCAGCTCAGTTCGCATCAGACAAAGATTGGTGCTAGTAGGTATAGGCCTATTGAGCAGTAGCCTCTTTGCTACTTGTCATCATCCCACCCAACCACAAGCATGCCCATTTCAGAGGAGCAATAGAGTTCCATGGAGTTCAATATTTTAGCCCAGTTCCAGGTCAAGATCAGTCCAACTCAGACTGTCTCCACGCATCTGAGTAGGTCTACCAGCCCATCCCTACTGAGGAACGTTGTCTCACCAGTTTGCTGACAGATCACCTCAAACCTGGGTGTCTCCTCGGCAGTCTTCTGCCCCACTACCACCACATACGGGTATCCTTCAGCCTCTTACCAATGGTCATCTGTGTCCGGTCATCCAGAATCACCTCACCTCTTAGCCTAGGCAGAGCCTCCCCCAGAATGAGGGCCAGCTCCTCAGCTAAACCAGCCACCTCATCCACCTTACTGCCCCTTTTAGGGGGCAGAACACAGACCTGGTAGGGGGCAAGCAGCCCAGGCCAGTGGATAGCCTCCTCCGTGGACGGCAGGTAGCTTAGTGGGTAAGAGCGTTGTGCCAGTAACCGAAAGGTCGCTGGTTCTAATCCCCAAGCCGACTAGGTGAAAAATCTGTCAATGTGCCCTTAAGCAAGGCACTTAACCCTAATTGCTCCTGTAAATCGCTCTGGATAAGAGCGTCTGCTAAATGACTAAAATGTAAAATGTGGACATCAACTCGATGGCTGCAGCGAGGATCCGGGTAACCCCCAGCCCGAAGCAGCCCATCTCAGTGACAACAGGCTTGTTCTGGGTGTTGTTGAAGGTGGCGTTGAATATGTGGGAGTACTTGCTGCCTAGGTAGAACGTATGGCCTACCTCTATGCCCTTAGACTCCACCAGGGTTCCCTCCTGGCACTGTGGGCAGTCTGTCCGGCCTGGTTCCATGGTCTCCACATTGGCAGAGAAAGAGCAGCTACCACAGACAATGCACAGGCCTAGCCGGGAGAAAAGGCGGGTGTAAGCCTGACACACAGATTCATATGTGTGGTATGCAGCCTCTTCGCTCATGTCAAACGTGGACATGTCCTTCATGTAGAACTCCCGCCCGCGTAGAAGCCCAAACTGAGGCTTCGGCTCATCACGGAACTTGCGGGTGATCTGCATATACAAGTGAAACACACATCAGTTTATTACCATTATAATATCAACCCAAGTGGATGAAAAGAAGAAAGAAGGCACACTCTGAATAAACTAATGAATCAGGCTTAATTGGCTGCCATACTGTAGCCTATACCTGGTAGAGCAGCAGAGGCAGCTGTCTGTAGGACAGGGTTCCCTGAGAGGCCAGCAGCTCGGTCACAGCCTCCTCATGGGTGGGGCCCAGGCAGTATTCCGCCCCGTGGCGGTCCCTCAGGCGAAACAGCTCTTTCCCCATTAGGTCCCAGCGCTCACTGCGTCTCCACAGCTCTGCCGAACACAGGCTGGGCATGTCCAGCTTCTGCCCACCGATCCCCTGCATCTCCTGGTCGATCAGCCTAACCAGCTTCTCCATGGAGTGCACGGTGGCCGGGAGGTAGTAGTAGCTGCCAGGGTTGGAAGGGTGGATGAGATCTGCCTGCTGCATCAGTCCCTGAGCACGCTTCTCCTGGCCCACATCACGCAGGTTGGAGGGCTTGAAGAGACGGGAGACTAGGGGAAGGTGTGTGCTAGGTCGGGAGATGAGTCAGTGGGGGTTGGCTTTGGGGCATGTCCAGCAGCACAGCTCGAATGGCTTTTATAGGGAGTGCTCTGTGTAGGCAGGGCAAGACTCTCTGCCAAAGGTGATGCATCAGGACTTCCATTGTAGTAGGCTGGTGTCAATATCCTTGAATTATGGAGAAAAAAATGAGATACATTTTTTTAACATATAATTGCTTAACAGAGGTGACATTGCTCTTAAAAAGTACCTTCGGTGTTATGAGAAAATCAACACAAGGTCAGCAAGAAATGTTAGCCAAGTTACATCATGACACTTCTTTTGTTGGGCAATGCAATACCATAAAACGATTACATCATCCAATGGTCAAGCATGGTTGGCTGAATTTGTCAAGCAAGCACTCACTCTTTCCAGACTCAGATTGTAATAGCTCATTACAGAAAGTATTCAGACCCCTTGACTTTTTCAACATTTGGCCGGGCGGCCAGCTCTAGGAAGAGTCTTCGTTGTTCCAAACTTCCATTTAAGAATGATGGAGGCCACTGTGTTCTTGGGGACCTTCAATGCTGCAGAAATGTTTTGGTACCCTTCCCCAGATCTGTGCCTCGACACAATCCTGTCTCTGAGCTCTACGGACAATTCCTTCGACCTAATGGCTTGGTTTTTGTTCTGACATGCACTGTCAACTGTGGGACCTTATATAGACAGGTGTGTGCCTTTCCAAATCATGTCAAATCAATTGAATTGCCACAGGTGGACTCCAGTCAAGTTGTAGAAACATCTCATGGATGATCAATGGAAACAGGGTGCACCTGAGCTCAATTTCTAGTCTCATAGCAAAGGGTCTGAATACTTATGTAAATAAGGTATTTCTGTTTTTTATTTTTAATACATTTGCAAACATTTCTAAAAACCTGTTTACACTTCGTCATTATGGGGTATTGTGTGTAGATTGCTGAGGACTTTTTATTTATTTAATCAGTTTAAGAATAAGGCTGTAACGTAACAAAATGTGGAAAAAGTCAAGGGGTCTGAATACTTTCCAAAGGCACTGTATATTGAAGTTATGTAGATTCCAGGCTCAGGCCTCAGTTGCTCATAATGTAGAATAGATCCACGCTTGAAATGTTGTTTTGATAACTATGCATGCAACTTCTGTCCTTCACCCTGTCTGATAGAGAGAGGAACAATCTGTACATGGAGCTCTGTTAGAACAGAATGGGGAATGATAAGTACATGGAGCATTCCATGCAGATGTTTACGGAGCGCCGAAGACCAAGGCAGGTCAGAATGCACTTTGTACTTTGTACTCCTTGGTATGAGATATGAGAGTCCTCTTGTCTGTTGTTCTTATATCAATATATTTATTTTTGGTTAGGCTGTCTTGTACACATTCACAGCTAAAAGCTGATTTGCAATATACAGAAAAAAAAGAAGAAATGGAGAGCAGCTAATTGTCTCTACCTTCAGAGTGCCTGGCTGCTCATGGTGAATCTCACCTCTCTTACAGTCACAATGGCTACCACCTAAGCACAGCCTAGTCAGTCTGCCCAGAGATTGTATAAACAAAAATTTTAACAAAAATGAGAACCTAAATAGCCTTTCATGCCTCTATATCAGGGGCCTCATTTATCAACCATGCATACATTTCTCATTAAATTCTGGCCTACCTGGAGATTCTAGGATTTCTGTGCGCAACAAATTATTGTGATTTATCAAACTGTCGCACACAACATATACGCATGTTTTCATTGATAAATCAAAGCCATACTATGTTTCTACGCTCGTGAGCGAGCGTTACAATCCCGCCTGGAAAACACCCTCCATTCACCTTATTTGGTAACAAAAACGGCCTCATTTGCTGTATGATTTGGAGATGTTGGAACTGGGCCATGACAGTTTCTAAATGAAAACGCAATGGCAAATTTGATCACATTTTTGTAGCGGTTTGGGCAGAGTGTATTTAATATTTTGTAGTGACTTTTTTCAACAAAAAATGCATGCCGCCTATAGCGAGTGCCAAACTCTGGCCTCACAATTTGCAAGATTGATTGTCTAATCGAACAATTTAAAAGTAAATGCTACAGCCCACACTTCTATGCAAAAGACAAATTGTTGTTCAATATTTTTTTAAATGAATACATTATTGTGTTTCTATCTCCTGCCTTGGTATAGGTTCTGAGATTAAATAGGCTATGATGTCGCGCTCCTATCGCACAGCAATACTGTAGCCTACCCATAGCCTACTGTCAAATATTCTAAAGAGGCTACCGGTCTATTTACTTTTGAGCATGGTTGGCTATTCAGTGAGCGATGGTTAAATGTGTAGCGGGAATAAATTAGTCATGTCAGAAATGGAGAGACATGTTTGGCGTCATGCTGCTATGCAATTTCCATACCAATGGCAAATGCACCTGTTTTATCACTAGGCCTGTTTTTATGTTTTTATTAGCCTACCATTATTATAATTCCCATGCCTCAAACACCTCCATTTCCCCCAAAATAACAATATTTGCTTGCAATACAGTTGACAAACCACTAGAAGTTGTGCGTACGCATGGTCCGATATTTGCGTTCATATACGCACACTTTCCCGTCAAGTTCAAAATGGATAAATACCAACCTTTGCGGGAAATCTGGCTTAGTGTCTTTTTTGTGTGCGCACCTTTCAGAAATGATGCCCCTGATGTTTTAACTGTGTACTGTGTCCTCTCCACAGCTACCACAGCCACCACTTGGGACATGCATGACTCGTTCTGCAGCACGGGGCTGGGGGAGGCTGCCTTGTCCCCAGACACAGACAAGGCCAGCATCTCTGAGATTGTCTCCAACCACAAACTGAATTGCTATCTATAATGTTACATATTGAATGCTTTATGACTGATAAACAACAAGGGTTGCTATCCAGACCCTGACAGTGTGCCCAACTCTGCTCCTACGGTGGTGAGCAGAAGAGTTCCCTAGATGAGTTGTGCCTCTGGTCCTTCAGCTGTGAGCTGACTGCAGGATGGAACGTCAGCAGCATGGCCTGGAACAAGAGGAACCCAGTATGTACCATTCACACCCCAACACTGCTTTATTTATGTGCCAAACTTGCCATGTAATCTGCCCACTAGAGCAGGGTTTCCCAAACTCGGTCCTGGGGCCCCTGCTGGGTGCACATTTTGGTTTTTACCCTAGCACTACACAGCTGATTCAAATAATCAAAGCTTGATGATGAGTTGGTTATTTGAATCAGCTGTGTATTGCTTTTTTTTGCATCTCAGTTCATATCATTAGTTTCCACAATAGTGCTGTGCCTGTAACCTGGTCCCAGAGCTGTGTGTGCTGTATAGCCAACTCCTATGGTCTTTACCATGACAAAACAGTTGGCAAGACAGCACAAACAGATCTGAAACCAGGCTACTGTACCTGTGCCAGGTTAGAGAATAGTTTTCTAGTGACTAAGCTAATAAGTCTTGTGTCTTGGATCTACAGTGGCCTGAGAGGATCTTTACCTGTGAGAGTGGAGTGACTGCTTTGGGGATGCATGACAGGCAGCATAGCCACCTACAATGTCGAGACCAGAGAGAAGACATCCGTCATTGACAGCAGGTCTGTGTGTCCTCAGAGAGAAAGCGAGACAAAATCTACAAAATCTACATGTCTTATTTCTCATAGACAGCAGGTGGCACTCACAGACAGACAGGCTAAATGATTTACAAAGCATAGCCCACATCCACCAACATTTCTGCTTTAACCATAGACTATACCTCTATGATTAGTCAGTGGAGTTGACCATTGAAACAGAATTACTTATGAATGATTACAGTATCTCCTGTACATTTGTTTTCCCTGTTTCTCATCATCCATCTGTATATCTGTTGTTGTTATGGCTGGTTACCTAAACTGGGATGACAGAGTAACTGTATCTATTTTTAATCCCCATTTCCAGTAGACACTGAAATATCTACTGATCTCATCACACACAGACGTAACACAGTAACAAAGCTGGTAGAACTGGTAGCATCTGTAAGAGTGCTACAGGAAACCTGCGTAGTGACTGCGCCTAGAAAAATACCCACCCTGCACGGGAGGTTCACTACATTTGTAAAGAGCCTCAACCTATTTGTTAGTTGAAGCACACTTATCTGTGTGTGTGTGTGTTTATCCCTGTGTAGTGACTGTGCCCACAAACACTCTAGCCCTGTTTGGCAGGTGAGGTAGGTAGATCATGAGAGGGGTCCGTCAGGGGAGGACAAGGGAGAGACACTCATCTCTGTGTCTGCAGACGGCAGGATCAGCAAGTGGTTCCTGTGGAAAGGCCTCGACTGCATAGGTACAGTTTTACTTTAATATCTGAAAATTGTGGGAAACCTTTATCTTAGTGTTTTCAAAAAAGTATGCCCCTCTATTATCCTAAATATCCACTCTCTGGAGACTATTCGTCCTATTTTTGTAGGCACCTTTGCAGACAACTCTTGTAGACATTTCCCCGCATAAACTTCCAGTAATAAGCATAACCATAATGTGCTCTAACCTGTGCCTCCCCAGACCTGATGAAGCTGAAGAGGACGAGGAATGAGAAAGCCAAGAAGCAGAGAAAGAGAGGAAGAGCGAGGCATGATATCACACCAGGTGCCGGGGATCTATTTCGACTTCCATTCGACGGTGAGCGAGTGTTTTCATGTTCTTAAGTTTTCCTAAAGGATAGTTACACATGCATTGCTTTAGTTACTTAGCTAGGCCTCATAGGATCTGCACATATAGGACGTAATACACCATTTTCGGGGACAACTTTTGCTTTGTGAGGGCTACTTTCAGAACTACTGGCTAAAAAATTTACAAAAGTACAGGAGAATCTCTTTTAAGGGAAACTCCACTCAAAACAATTTTGCATCATCATTATGATGTGGCCGGTGACTCTTTGCTTCTTGAAGGTCATATATCTTGAAAACTTGACTGCTGACATGCAAAACATTTTGGGACTGTATGTGGACTAATGAAAAAAATACCCAAATATAGCTTTTGAGTGTATTTGCCCATTAAATACTATTTTCTGTCCAGATCAAGGCACAATTTCCTCAGTCTGTGGTGGCTGGCTAACTGTTGTTATCTCACTGGGCAAACAGAGCTTACAGTAAAACGTATTCCACAGAATTCAATAGTACATATTGTATTTTATCTTATGGCGTCTTTTCTCTCTCCCCTCAGGTGTACACGTTAGAGGACATCATCGGCTCCACTTTGGCCAGCCAGCTGTGAGAGGGACAGATCTTGCCATGGGTGGAGGGTAGAGGGACACACTGGGTCTTCTGTGTCCCACAAGCCTGCCTCATCATTGGCTGTCTCCATAATGTTTGGTCCCCAGGGAAGTACTGTAGAAGACTGAACGTCTCCATTTTAGACCTCCAATGAGATTAGTGAAGAGTATGTCTGCAGACGGACTGCATCTTTGCCTGTTTTGGTTTTATGTTGAGAATAGAAAATATGATAATTTATTATTACTATAAAACATGTTTCTGCTTGTACACTCACTCTCTCAAAGTTTAGATCAATATCTATATCAGCCAAATGTTTCTTTATGTCTTGTTTTTATGTTTATCTGGCCCAATGCCCAGTTCCAGTCTTCAATAATAGTGTAACACTGAAATACCTGGAATTGATATGTCATCCATTTTAAAGGAAGTTCTGCCTGATTCTATGAAGCTGCTGATCTTGTTGACCCAATCATAAAGGAAGGTGTCATTGAGCTTGTTCTGATGAAGAGTAATGGAGGGTCTCTGTGTGACTGTCACACACACACACACACACACACACAACCACACACACACCCCTCGGCCTCCCACAACTCAGCTAATGGCTGTCATTATGTAGTTAAAGGTTTTGCCTGACATTTCAGAAAGTGTTAAAGGTCATTGTTACAGGAGTAAAAAGGCTCAACGGAGTGGAATCTAATGCTTCAGGAGCAAATGGGCAGAAAAACATAAACATCTGGTATATTGGACATCTGACAGGAGTCCCATGATGGTAGTAAACAGATATACCATTATGACTGTTATCTCTCTGTATCTATCTATCTGTTGTCTGCATCACTACCCTTAACCTTGTTTCCAAATCAGTGGTTTTCATCAAAGCAGACAACTGGATTTTTTAAAATTCTATTTAACCTTCATTTAAAATCCTTGAGTCTATTGACGCAACCGTTCGTCAATCTAATTAACATAATACAAAAATCCCCATCAACATCCAGCAATTTAAGCTAGAGATATCTGTTTTTTTTTGCATGGGCTGCGTCTCAATCCACCGCATCCGCCTATGTCGGCCCTCCGCATCTGCAGTGGAAAGTGACAGAACTACAGTGCTGTTTGTCAGACCATGAGACATCCCTAAAATCGGTCTACTCACGAAAACGTCTGTAGTGTCCGAACGGTTTGGCCTACTAACTCTAACACTCTATGGATAGATGAGACTCTCACAAACATGATAGTGTTCTCCGTTTTTCTCTATGACCTCCACAAGTGTCATGGGACTCTGAAGGTAACCAGGAACTAGTGTAAAACATTTATTGAAGTATGGAGGTAGTTTTGTGCCAACAAAAAAAAGGGGTTAAATGTGTTTTAAAAAACTAGAATATTTCATGAGCTTTCTTATATCTCCTAAATATAGGAAATAGACTTCAAAACCATATTCCTTATGATAAATATTTTGACTGTCTATTTTGCCATTTATGAATGTGTTATTCAATGCATTTATATGGGCTATAGTAGTAAAGGCCAAATTCAATTTTTATCAAATATCTTTTACATGTTTTTTTTTATACCTACAGGGGTCCGTCCTAAAATTCAAAATCAAATAGCTAAATGATCCATGGTATGACCATCTTAAAACAATTCCATATGTTAGCTCAGCAGAATTTTCCTGTGATGTGCAAGGAATGTTTCCAAGAGACCATTCCGTTAATGTCAAAAAGAACTTACCCAGAACGTGGTTACCATGTTATCAGATATGAATGTTCTAGACACATTTCATGGGAACGTTGCAAGAACATTCATGTGTCCAGTTTTCGGTGGGTTATGAGAATATTCCATCAACGTCCCACCAAACATACACAAAACATGGTTGCCATGTTCTCAGAACATACAGTGCATTCGGAAAGTATTCAGACCCCCAGACCTTTTCCACATTTTGTTACGTTACAGTCTTATTCTAAAATGGATTAAAAAAAATAAAAAATCCTCATCAATCTACACACAATACCCCCTGATGACAAAGCAAAAACAGGTTTTTATACATTTTTGCAAATGTAACAACAAAAAAAACGGAAATATCCTATTTACATAAATATTCAGCCCTTTGCTCAGTACTTTGTTGAAGCACCTTTGGCAGCGATTACAGCCTCGAGTCTTTTTGGGTATGACGCTACAAGCTTGGCACACCTGTATTTGCGGAGTTTCTCCCATTCTTCTCTGCAGATCCTCTCAAGCTCTGTCTGGTTGGATGGGGATTGCCACTGCACAGCTATTTTCAGGTCTCTCTAGAGATGTTCGATCGGTTTCAAGTCCGAGCTCTGGCTGGGCCACAAAAGGACATTCAGAGACTTGTCCCGAAGCCACTCCTGCATGGTCTTGGCTGTCTGCTTAGGGTTGTTGTCCTGTTGGAAGGTGAACCTTCGCCCCAGTCTGAGGTCCTGAGCGCTCTGGAGCAGGTTTTCATCAAGGATCTCTCTGTACGTTGCTCCGTTCATCTTTCCCTCGATCCTCACTAGTCTCCCAGTCCCTTCCGCTGAAAAGCATCCCCACAGCATGATGCTGCCACCACCATGCTTCACCGTAGGGATGGTGCCAGGTGTCCTCCAGTCGTGACGCTAGGCATTCAGGCCAAAAAGTTCAATCTTGGTTTCATCCGACCAGAGAATCTTGTTTCTCATGGTCAGAGTCCTTTAGGTGCCTTTTGGCAAACTCCAAGCAGGCTGTAATGTGCCTTTTACTGAGGCGTGGCTTCCGTCTGGCCACTCTACCATCAAGGCCTGATTGGTGGAGTGCTGCAGAGATGGTTGTCCTTCTGGAAGGTTCTCCCATCTCCACAGAGGAACTCTGGAGCTCTGTCAGAGTGATCATTGGGTTCTTGGTCACCTCCCTGATCAAGGCCCTTTTTCCCCCATTTGCTCAGTTTGGCTGGGCGGCCAGCTCTAGGAAGAGTCTTGGAGGTTCCAAACTTCTTCCATTTAAGAATGATGGAGGCCACTGTGTTCTTGGGGACCTTCAATGCTACAGAATTTGTTTGGTACCCTTCCCCAGATCTGTGCCTCGACACAATCCTGTCTCGGAGCTCTACGGACAATTCCTTCGACTCATGGCTTGGGTTTTGCTCTGACATGCACTGTCAACTGTGGGATCTTATATAGACAGGTGTGTGCCTTTCCAAATCATATCCAATGAATTGTATTTACCACAGGTGGACTCCAATCAAGTTGTAGAAACATCTCAAGGATGATCAATGGAAACAGGATACACCTGAGCTCAATTTCGAGTCTCATAGCAAAGGGTCTGAATACTTATGTAAATAAGGTATTTCTGTTTTAGTTTTTTATACATTTGCTAAAATGTCTAAAAACATGTTTTTGCTTTGTCATTATGGGGCATTGTGTGTAGATTGATGAGGAAAAATGTTTATTTAATCAATTTTAGAATAAGGCTGTAACATAACAAAATGTGGAAAAAGTGAAGGGGTCTGAATGTTGTAGACACGTTTCATGGGATCATTGCAAGAACGTTCATGAGTCCAGTTTTCTGTGGCTTAGGATAATATTTCATCAACGTCCCACCAAACATTCACAGAACCTGGTTGCCATGTTCTCAGAATATAAGATACCAATGTTCTAGACACGTTTCATGGTAAAGTTGCAAGAATATTCATTTGTCCAGTTTTCTGTGGGTTAGGAGAATTTTCGATCAACATCACACTAAACATACACAGAACCAGAATATAAGGTATTCATATTCTAGACACGTTTGCAGGAACATTTCTGTGTATCAGTTGTCAGGATGTCGCCTGATGGTCAGAAAGAAACATTCTCCCCCCCAAAAAGTTTTCATTATAAATCATACCTTGTTACTGTGCGAATCAAGATCCAAATTGGTGAACCACTGATCCATTCATAACTCTTTGTCTGTTGGCAAGGTTAGGGACACACAGACTGCTTTTAACACGGATTATTACATTGTGCATGTTCATTTATGTAGTTATTTTTATTTAATGTCCTCACCTGGGATTTGAACTCACAACCTCTTTGTTCATAGTACTCCGAGCTTCCTGCTACTCCACGATGTCCATGTCAGGTATCGGTTAATCTGACTATTGTCATCATTGATTTGATTTACTTACTGCAGTAATTTAAGGGGTTTCTGTGTAGTTGTCTAATGTTGATGGGGCATGTTAAACTGTTTGAATGATACTTCTGAATCACTATGATCAATAAAATCGTTTTTCTTGAGTGTACTTTTAACAGAGCTGAGATTTACGTCAAATTGCATTCACCCTATTGCTTGCACCTATCAAGTTTCATCTCCATAAGTGCCTAGGGAGGAGGGGTTAGGGTTTCTTCTGGACAGGACCTAATTATACTGGCCCAATAAGCACATGCCCCAGGGATATCCCTTGTTGGGACAGTGGTTAGGTTGTTCATTGTTGGTGGCCTGGGTTTGAGACCCGCTATGGGAGTCACCCTACTGTCACATTATTTGTCATTATTTGGCAACAGTTACACCTATCAGATCGAATTAAAATGTGTTTGTCAATGATACATGTCTGTTCTACATGGTACATGTGGTGTAGATTTCAAAAAGACGATAGGGTTCTCTTTAAGATGCTCAGCTATATAGAAGTAATAAATACAGAAAATCGTGGAAATGGAGTCATCATTTGTGATCAAGGGAAAATCCTACAGATTCCCATCTTTCAGTGACAATCTCATTTTAATTAGATCAGATAATCCCTACCCCCTCCTCCCTACACTCTAAAAATGAGGGGTTCAACATGGGTTCTTCTAAGATCCTCAAAGTTCTTCGAAGAACCTTAGGGTTCTTGGCACTGAAAATTGCCCCCAAAAGGTTATTCCAAGAAACCCATTGGAGGTGGGGTTCATCGAGGAACCTCATTAGTTGGTGGGTGTTCTTGCAGGAACCTAACTGCCCAACTGAAACATTTGGATTTGAATTTGAAAGGACAGCAGGTGCAGGCACTTAACTGAAAAATGTAAAGAT